TCAAATTGGCCCTTGTTTTTAAAGACCACCAGGTACAGATGTATTTCTAGCACTCACACATCTGTAGAATTATCTGGGAAAACTCTTTGGTGAAGGATTTTTTTTTTTCTTTTTTACTTTAAGTGCTCGCAGTTGCACTTAGCCCAACAAGAAACACTACACAAAATGTCTCTCTTGGGATGTCTGTCTTCTAAACCTAGTGTTGGGCCCATGAAATACTCTGAACTGCGCAGAGTAAAAATGTAATGCAAACACCAGGTAGTGGTAGTGTCATTATTTATAATGTTTTTGCAGCTGAAAAGTAGAACGCTAGAAGCATTTAAGGTGAGGTTCAGCTGAAGTTCATTGACTAGAGAAGAGTCACCTAACCAGGCTGCGAACACGTCCAAGTGTGGCCATGGCAGGCAAGATGACAAGTTCCTATCAGTACTGATATACAATAATACACTGATGACATACAGTATACATGTAAACTATTACAAAAATTATATGATTTTCCTGGTATGTGATTTTTCTGTTTACCTTTGAAAGAATGAGCAAGCCGGGTGCGGTGGCTCAAGCCTGTAATCCCAGCACTTTGGGAGGCCGAGGCAGGTGGATCACGAGGTCGAGAGATCAAGACCATCCTGGTCAACATGGTGAAACCCCGTCTCTACTAAAAATACAAAAAATTAGCTGGGCACGGTGGCGCGTGCCTGTAATCCCAGCTACTCAGGAGGCTGAGGCAGGAGAATGGCCTGAACCCAGGAGGCGGAGGTTGCGGTGAGCCGAGATTGCGCCATTGCACTCCAGCCTGGGTAACAAGAGTGAAAACTCCGTCTCAAAAAAAGAAAGAAAGAATGGGCAAAAGTTAGGCCTTTGGAACCTGCAAAACAAATTAAGACTCAGGAATCTTCTGAATGCTCTGGTAAACAAAAGTCAACTGGGTCGAGACAGAGTGTGTGTACAAAGAGTATGTAACCATGAGGACACGAGCTGCCATACTTGGCTTTTTGATCCAGTTGTCAGAGAACTTCCTGACAAACAGATGTGTGTGTGTCTGTGCCTCACCTTTGTGGATCCGTTTGGAAATAGTGTGGTATGGTGATTGATAGCGTAAGTTATACAGCCAAGTTCAGCTGGTTTGCATTCTTGTTCTGCCACTTACTACCTGTGTATTTGAGTTACTGTGTGTAACTCAAGGCCTCCCTTTTGTGATCTGTGAAACGGAAATAGGAATGTTACCCACATCATATGATTTTCAATATCGTGCCACAATAATGCACGTAAAACATACAGTGCCGGCCGGGTGCGGTGGCTCAAGCCTGTAATCCCAGCACTTTGGGAGGCCGAGGCGGGTGGATCACGAGGTCGAGAGATCGAGACCATCCTGGTCAACATGGTGAAACCCCGTCTCTACTAAAAATACAAAAAACTAGCTGGGCGTGGTGGCGCGTGCCTGTAATCCCAGCTACTTAGGAGGCTGAGGCAGGAGAATTGCCTGAGCCCAGGAGGCAGAGGTTGCGGTGAGCCGAGGCCCTGGCCAAGTGCTAACTAAATGTTGGTTATTACTATGAGTTCAGTAAAGCATGCCAAACTAGAAATGATTGTATATACAGAACTCCCCAGAAAGTCATGGTCATTTCATTGGTTTGAAAGGTCATGGATAGCTACTCATATCTTGTAGGTATTTATAAATGTTACTCTTTTATGTATATTTTTGTTTAAGGGCATTTATTTATAATCCCAGGAAGAAATTTGAGGGGTGTGTAGTATAACTACATGTGATTTGTTATAGGGCGGTGGCCACGAGACTCGGGATTGGGAGATATTGTTCTTTTCTCCAGGTGGGTTAGACTTTTGAGCTCTCAATAGTTACTTACTTCAAAGCTCTTGCTGCACAAGTCTGTCTATTCTTGGAGATCAGAGAGGTCTCGGTTTTCAGAGACAATTGGAGTTTGGGTCCAGGATACTTTGCAGAGTGGAGTAAGTCTTAGGGAATCCTACATTATGGGCGTGGACCATGGAGTTCCCTGTAAAGGGCACTCAGCCTTCTCTCTGCATTTGCTTTATAAATGGCTTATGAAATCTCTCATAGTTTGACATAGTCTTCACTTCCACATCATCCCTGTAAGTATAAATACAAATAAAAAGTAAGGTGTGAATCAGACATTTCTGTAAACAAAAGTCCTCTCTGGATACTAGCAATAAATAAACCATAATGTCCTGCAAAATTAACCTATGGCTGTTTTCTAAGCTAATTATCTTCCCACAGATAGAAACGTTACTGATTCTAGGTCCACTGGTTTTTCAATTTATCTTCCTCACTTTATTTTGGTGAAATTCAGGAATTCTCAAATTAGATCATTTCTCAAGTTGTGGATTATCAGGTATCAGAATAAAACCATCCAAACACCTCCTCATTCTACCTGCAGTTCCAATTTCCTGAAACTGATTTCTTCTTTTTAATTACAAGCACTCCAAGAACTAAGTTTTGCTACTTAGCGTGAGAACAAGTAACTCATATGTCTTCAGTTTGAGTTTGAATGCGGTAGGCTTCCTGAATCTGCCAGAATGCAGGTGCTTAAGGTATAAGATCAATGTCAGTGTTCCCTGTTCTATTATAATTATTAAATTTTTAGTGCTAAGGTACACTAGGGAAAATGTGGATCTCCCAATGATCAGAATTTCTTGCTTGATATTTCTGGAGGAATCTTGCCCTGGTGATAGGTAACATGAGACGCTGACTTCTTTTCTTTTTTTCTCCTCCCTAAAGGGGAACATGAAAGTTTTAACTGTGTATCAATGTTATTTTAAAATAACTAGGTTAATTTAGATATTTTCATCAAATCCAAATGGGCTCTTTGGTGTCTCGCTGTTTACACACGACAAAACAAAAACATAAATGTTCACTTGGGAGGATTCTACTTTATTATAAATAAGTGGCTAGAATGTCTTTTTGGACCAAGATTTCTTCTTGTTTTTGCCCTTCACCCTAATAACTAGGACATCACATCTTAGGCAGAGCTAGAACAACTTACGTAGAGACTGGCATTCAGAATTATCCCTTGACTTATTTTCTAATTTCCCCGACAGTAGTGCATTGAGTCTCCTGAATGATCATGTGAATTTAGTGTTAGTCAGCAAAGGGTCAAATCATGCTATTTGTTTTAGAAGCAAAATATCCTGCCTCCTAGATTCCATCAAGCAGCCTCCCTCCCTTTATTGAAAGTTGCTTGCTTTATTGGGTTCTAAAATTGGTTCGTAACAAGTGTTATAGCCTAATAAAATAATTGTTTCCGTTGTTCTCATATTTTTAAAGTTCATACAGAGAGGTTTTAATTTCCAAAATTCAAGTTCTTTTGTTAATGTAACTTTACCTTGCAGTCTAGATCCAGTCTTACCCCACTCTGGAAACTTAAAAAAATGGCAATTCTCACTCTCCTCTTATTTTTAATCTAAGAGCATAACAGAAAAAGTATCAGAACTCAATAGTACTTTTCTTTCCCCATTTCTTTCATATTCAAGTCACCAAATAAGAGCTGTGGCTGCAAATTTAGCAAAACGCTTTGCTATCTACCACTTCTTAATAGCTTATTATGCACCAGGCGCAAGGTGAAGTACTTGGCATTATTTTAACTGATTCAATCAGTACAACGAAGTAAAGCAGATATTAGCCTCCATGTTCTAAGTAGGGATACTAAGACTTTCAGAGATTAATTTCACGTAGATAGAAAATGAAGGAGCCAGAATCTGATCACTAGACCCCTTCCTACTAGAAGGCCGCCCTGACCACCCTAAAAAACACAGATGTGGTGAGTAAGATGGGAAAAAAATATAGTATAAAGTGAAGCAACATACAGGCCCTATCATGAAAAATTAGATATAATTAAGATATTAAAAGTTCTCCCTCTGCCTGAAAGACCCCAATGTCCAGACACCTACAAAAGAGAGTGCAGAAAGACTACCCCAAACCCTATCACGCCTCAAGGCAGGTAGTGAGTAATTTTCTCCTCTAAAGATTCTCTCCCATCCTTTGCAAATATGACTGCTAAAGTAAAGGTGGCTGGTGAGAAACAAATAAAATGGCTGCACACACTGCATGAAAATTGCCATATTTCCTAGTTAAGTGAAAGATCAGCACACCTCAGAGTCCAAGACGGAAGCGAATAAGTATTCTGATTAGAATTGTATGCATGTGCTAAGTCAAACAGCTTTGAGTATATACATAGTCCATGAAAGGGAATAAAAGTCTTTGTGTATGTGTTTGGATTTGTTTTCTGTGTGTTTATGATTATCATTGCAGTTCTCCAATGAAAGTGTCTCCTACTTAGTAGTCTCTTTTGTGCTCTTCAGTGCTAGTAGTCATAAAAACTGGGTATCTAATAACACAGTATAACAACTACCCATTGTAAATGAAGAATACTGTTAGAGCTGTCTGTGCCTTGGAGCCAGTCTTTGAATTCTGTACCATATTCTCATCCTTAAAAATGCTGAAACTTAGGATGCTGTTTCTTTGAGATTTTTTCATAGCCCACATATATGTGTATAGAAGATTAAACATTGCTAAGGTCTTTTGGTAAATTGCAACTCAATTACCTAACTATTTGATGATTCAAGAAGAAATGTTCCAGAGGCCTTCCGTTTTGATTTTAGCTTACTGTAATCTGATGATGATGATGCAAGCTTTTATGCAAAGGAAAAGAGTGCCATAGTGGGCAGCCATTTTGTTGAGGAAACTGGAAACACTCACCCTTTTAAAAACTAAGTTACCCTGACTACAGTCTTATTATTTCTTCAGTTCAAGGTTACGTTTTCTGCCTCCCACAGACTAATGTCACTTCTCCATGTTGAGAACAAGAGCGGCATTTGGCATTTGGTTATCCCAAACCCAAATCTCTGACCCTTTGTTTTTAGTACTTTGCCATCTTGATTTTGCTTTTTTAATTTGCTTGTGACTCTCTGCTTCCCCCATCTTTTTTTTTTTTTGGTACAATGATTCTTACCTTGTCTTTCCCCAGTCCGTTTCTGACCTGGAGAGACGTACAGCATGTTATTGTCAGGACTTCCCGTGCGGGACATTTGAACGCTAATGACTGGAAAACCAATGCTGCTGGTTTTAAGGGTGAGAACTTCTTTCATATTCTGTCACAGGCAAAATATTTTTATTTTTCCCCCATTTTAAATGGAGAGCAGGAAATAGAGCCCCTTAAACAAAACTTTAAATTTTGTGCTGACACACGAAGAACTTGATCTTTTAGTAAATAAAGGGCAGGTTGATTTTTTTTCAGTTAAAACTACACAGATAAGGCAGATTTCTTTGGCTTCCCACAGTATAGGTCAGTTTTTTTTAAAAGATCTACCAACTCCCACATACAGTCGACCTATGGACCCTGATTAGTTTACTATTTGCTGTCATTGAGTATCTAAGTGATATTTATAATAATGTATTTTAAAATTCCTCACCATCTATAGGACTACTTCCACTTAAATAATAACTGATATATATTGTTCATTTACTGTAGTACTGTTTGTTGCTAAGGCCATGCATTCTACAAATTTCATTTTTGTTTGTTTGAAAACCTTCCACAAACAGAAAAACAGGCAATAATTCTAAGAAATGTGACTTTACATAAACTAAAAATTCTGATGAAGCTTTATAATGTCCAGTCCTTATGCAATTGTGCACAGTATGTAACAAGTACTGATATTTTCCCATGGCTAATACAGATCATAGTTCCCGAAGTCTTAACAGTAGCCATTCTATTTGTTGCCGTAGGTAATATATGTTATAATAAAAATAAAACAGCTGTATAAAACATATATCTAAAGTTTAGTATATTTACTCAAGTTGTAAGTGACCTGTTACAATAAACTTGTAATTCATTAATCTAAATTATAACAAAGATTAATTTGTTTATGTCTGCAGACTTAAAACATATTCCCAAATAATCTTAGAATCATCATATATCTGTATGGATGAAATACAGTGTTTTCATAGCATAGGGCACATCTACTTAAAAACTGAAGTTCTGATGGTCAAGCCATTGGTAACATGGTCATGAACAAGTCATTTAATTTTTAAGGGCCCTAATAATTTAAACATTTTGGATGCTAAGTAATATTATCTACATATCATATCTTACATATGATCTTAATATATCCTTATATATTTCCTTATATGACCAATATATGCAAATATTTCTGCCAGAATGTATATTTTTTAATTATTTGAAAATGATTTATTATAGATTCATGCTAAAACAAAACCTATAAATATCCTAGATAACCAGTGCCACATCAATAGTTCTTTGATTAATATCTTCTTTGAAGACTTCACTCTATTTTTAGGAAAAGAATATTTCTCTGCATTGGAATATTATCAAACACCTTTCCATGCATGTAAACTATATAATGCAGCAGTGTTCAATGAACTTTTAATCTGCAGTTGTGAATACCTGTTGGCATTGCCTTCTCTGAAGCCCAAATCAAGACGTTTGATCCCAAAGTTGTAATTGTGTGGGTGACATCAAAATTATTTAAAATTTCAGTTGTTCCAGAAAATCCAGGATGTAATTTGCCATATGTATGTTTCATTTTGATTAACTTCACATGCTCCCAGCTCCTATGATATAAATCCATGAGGCTGCAGGGGAGAGAAGGGGCCGACACATAACCGTGGCTGGTTGAAAGCTGGAATGAACTTCTTAAGAGAAGGATCACAGACTAAGGATGTTAACCTCCATGAAGCTGAGGAAACTTTAACCCAAATAAATGGCTTAGTTTTACTTATTCCTTTTTGGCAATTTAAAAAGAGCAAATGGTTCTAACAAACATGCAGCTGTTTTGAAAACCTCTGTTGGTTTAGGAGAGGGGGAAACAGAATTTAGACTAAATCACCAGACCCAAACCTGAATCTGAAGGGGGCTGTGCACTGCTTCTGGCAAGGAGGAGATGGTGTTTTACTATTGCACGTGGCAATATTTAGTATAATATTTCACTCTTCTCTTAGATGGCTGCCAAGAGTAACAGTCAAAGTTCGCTTTTTCACAGATGAATTCTTCTGAATGGGCTGGGCTCCCAGTGGGATTGTTTTGTAATTTTGTTGATAGCAAGTCCCATATTTCATCTGAACAGGATCATAATAAGATGACTTTAAAAACAGAGTTATTTTCTTCTCTGCTCTAAACATTACCATCCCATCCCTAGAGTCCCACAAATAAATGTGATTGAGGCAGAGGCTGGCAGGGGAAGCAACATGCTTTGGGGAAGTGGACAGTACAGGGCACTAGGACTGTAGACAGATGGTGTGACTTTTTATGAAATAGCAACTGGAAAGAACAAAAAAGAGCTAATGCTTAGAAGAGGTTCCCACAACAAGAGCTCAACAAGGGCTTGTATTTAAATTAGGTCAGCCAGCTTTGCAGGTCTTGCTTAGCAGGAATCCATAGTCACCTTTCTCCATAGACTGGAGAAAACGGAACTTGCCTGCCTACAGAAACGTGTGGTCTTGGGTGCCCTCCTTTGTCCCACCCAACTCAGTCCTAACACTGGGTGAAATATGTGCATGAAACGAATCTGAAAATACCTGTTCTTCCTTGGGCTTGCTTTTGTGTCCCAGTGTTGAGTAATTTATCAATAACTTGTTCGAAGAGTGTTTAAAAAAAAATATGAGAGCAGTTTCACAAATTGCTCTATAGGTACCTGTCAGTAATAGGGACATCAGTGCCCGCATCAGAATTTCTTTCTCGCCAGGTAAAGCAGAAGCCGCTTAGAGTAGCAAACAACTCAGTTTTGGAGTTCAGACATCACTAGACTTGACAGTCTTTGTTATCACTGACAACCTCAGAAAAGCAAACACCCCAGTGAAAAGCCTCTACCAAAACCCTACCAAATCCATATTATACAACCTCCTTACATGTCTTCAAACATACCCCCATGTCCTACATCCTAGGCAAACAGCAGAGCTAGATGATGTACAAACTAGACTTCTGTGCTGCCCTCCTGAAGGCAGACTTGGTCTGTCCGTACCCACATGTATTATGGACTAGAACAGGGATCTTCCTCCTGAAGCAACTGCTGGCTTGGACAGGTTCTCATTCAGGCTGGGAAGTCGGCCTTGACAATTAAAGAATGTGGCTCTCTGATGACTCATCTCTGTTTCTCGGAGAGTAGGATTACCCTGGAGTGGCTCACTAAGGAGCTAGGGACAGAGAATTTTCTTCTCCTTTTTCTGTGCCCTCCTTGTAAAAGCACTCTATAAATGACCCTATAATGAGATGACCTCACAGAGAGGGAAGCCACATACAAACATTCTTATGCTAATATACCTTAATTTTCAACAATTTTAATCAAACTAAGATTATTCTGTCCTGCCCCTTCTTAAATATAATAACAATCTCTGAAAGTGTAATTAAAATATCTTTTCCAGTAGATTAGTTTTTTCAAAATAAGCATAACCCGATGAATACATACCTATGGAAACTGACTCAACATTGTTTTGCCTTGCTCATCTTGTGAATAATCCTAGCTAAGTTTTAGACAACAGCTTTTGACTTTAAACCTCCTCCAGAGATTTTTTTTTAATTAAATGGAACAAATATCATGTACCTATCAAAAAATCTTCTTTAGATTCCCCATAAGAATAGGAAATTACTTGCCTTGGACCAGATGAACAGATGTGATATTCTGCCACTAGAGAACTGAAATCTAAATTCCAGTATTTTGCTCCTGACCAATATTTGCAATGCTAGGAGGTGTCTTTGGCATTAGGTTGTTTGGGATTTTGTTAATATTATTTCTTTCCTCTCTTGATCCCTTCCCTTTCTGCTTATAAAAAGGCTTTCTGTTTTGTTTTGTTTCTCTTCTTTTTAATTCTCCTTTGTGTTCCTTAAAACATACGAATTAGCCATAAAAGTGAAGGCTTTTGCCATTCCAGGTGGTTTTTCTTCCTGGAATTTAATGGATGTTATCTCTTCATTTATTTACCAGTATTTCATGAGCATGCCAACCCAGCACATGTTGAAGCCCAGAAAGTTGGGGGATGAGGGGAAGAAATGTCAGGGACACCATGGCGTTGACTAATCTGACCTGCCCTGGTGTAACTTACATGCAGAAACAAAAATTTACCCTCCACCTAATTTTCTTCAGTCAAGCCCCAACAATCTGCTAGGTCACATTAGATAAATATTGGTGATCCTTCTCTTATTGTCTAAAATTCAGGTTAATGTTAGCATCAGAGGACATCTGCTGTGGAGAGTATCTTCTGTGGCGTCTGATGTGTGTTTTGACCAGCTCCATTTGGGTGTAGATTATATGTAGATCCATAGAGCCATGCGGTTGATTTTAATTCAGGCATGTTTCATAACCCATGGCTTGTATCATTTCAGGAAGAAGTTAGCTCTTTCTTGTGATCTCCTCCCTTTTGCTGCTATAATCTGAGGAAACTGCATCTCTACCGACCTTCTCTACCACCAGTGCCTGAGATGTGCAGGCTGATTCTTGCCCCTAGTCCTCATCTTTGGTTTGGGTGTGCAGTTCTAATTATAATTAAATGCATGCAACATCAGTGATCTAGTTTTTTTTTTTTTTTCAAAGTGTTTATATTGGATTATATGACTGTGTACAGTTAAACTCTCTTAAATCTAGGTACAGGAATAGACGTCAGATAATAAATTAGGACCTTCTGTCATCTTTACTAGGCGAAAGAATGAAAAAAATGTCATTGAAAATCAAAAAATGACAACTAAGTGAGAGAGGTTACCACGCCTTCCATTTCACTGTCCTCCCAGACTATGTAAGTCTCTTTTTTTCTACCAGCATGTTGCTGAAACCTTCCCCATCCCCACTGACTCTTTCTTTGACCACAACTAAACTACTAGATTTTTTAAAATTTCTAACTGATAACCCACCGTGGGGAAAACAATTGACAGTCTAACATGACTTAGCCTCCGAGGCCTTAACTTTTAATAACCTGGGTTACTTTTCATTGCTGTCATTTTATTTCCACTGGTAGGGTTGATGATTTTAAGATGTTCCAATATATTTTTAATACCTACCAGTCTTGCTTTCAGTTTGTAACACTTATTTAAAAGAATTAGAAGTGCTGAACCCATTAAGCATGCT